GTTATTAACCAAATTAACCCTATAGCCATTAACGTTTTGTGTGCCGTTTTTGTGTATATAAATAAAATCTTACATGCATGATAAAAAATCTCACAATTTTCTTTTATTGTGATCCCTATAGTTACATATGTTTTATTGTCACTAGTTCGAAACAAACACTGTTGTTTTAGTCAATATCATGCCATTTAATAATATCATCCCGAAAACATTTCACCCATTGCTACCGAACATTTTTTTCAAAAAGAGAGGTTAAGAGAAAAGAGAACTTTTAGTTGGCAGAACATCTTTTCAAAAAATCGTCGTCTATATTTGGTGAATAACTACGAGTGGCGTCAATGTTTATTGTTAAAATAATTGCCAATGTTTGATTGTCTCTCCCGGGTTTTATGAAACTCACAGTAAGCACAGACCACACATTTACTTTTGAACACAAAAGAGAAGAAATTAACAAAACATTAAAAAGTTCTATGCCTATCTATTGATTTACTATTTTGGTATAGAACAAATATCAAATCCTTAAATCCGAACAAATTTTCTTGATTCTTCCTCATTTTTGTGCGTCCCATGTGTCCTTGATTTGTCAGAACTCTTATAAAGTTTTAAGAAATTGTAGTTGCATACAATGCTATAAATGATCCGTCCAACAAAACTTTGATTCTCTTTGTCAACTAAATTCTCTTTCTTAGGAAATTTACAATTAAGAATTTGCGGACGAGAAAACGATAGAACGGAGTTGGTACCATGGTTCCATCGTTGGAACGAGGAATAAGCATTTCAAGTTCCTTCAATAACGATAGAATGTTCGATTCCTCACCAGGAAAAGAACAAGAACAATCTAATTGCGTCGAAACTGAGAACGGAATTTCTCATCTCGTAGAATCAACTACGCCAGAAATTCAAGCTCAAGACGGCATGGCTGGAAGTTCGGTGGAAAGTAGCCGCCCAATGACTTCCCGACTGATTTCCCGGAGACGAGAAAAGCAACAATCTGGTGATCTTTTATCCCAAAACTAAAGAAAAAATGTTCATTTTTCTTTTAACAAATTCATTGTGGTCTAGTGGTTAAAGTCTCATCTTGGAGTTTGGTTTTGTAGCAAACATTTTAAGATTTTGTAGTATCCTTCCACATTTCTAGCGCTCTACAAAACATTGGGAATTGGTTTGGGCTTTGACATGTTATCCATTAGATGTAGAAAAAGAAATATTCATCATTTTGCTCTTTTAAGAATGATTGAAATGTACTGAAAAAATCTTACAATGTAGACACGGAGATGATGAAGGATAGATTCACAAAACTACTTCTAGGAGAAGATATGTCAGGTGGTGGGAAAGGTGTTTCTTCTGCTTTGGCACTATCAAACGCCATTACAAATCTAGCCGGTAATTAAAAGTAGTTCTTTAGTTTAGTTTCGTATCTACAAGTTACATAGAAATGATCGATATAGAGTTTGGTTTAACTTAATGCGCAGCGTCAATATTTGGAGAACAAACAAAGTTGCAGCCGATGGCACCAGATAGGAAAGTGAGGTGGAAGAAAGAGATCGATTGGTTGCTCTCTGTGACTGATCACATCGTCGAGTTTGTTCCATCTCAACATACGACCAAGGAAGGAGTTTGCACCGAGGTTCCATTTTTCATCTTTTATAAAATCGTCCACATCAACATGGCATCTATTC